AAAGTTCAATTTTTTAAATAAATTAATCTCATAAACATTTTGTTTATTGGGTTTGTTAAATTCGAGACAAGCAATGGTTCTCGGCTTACCAAGACTAATTTTGTTTTTGGTTTAGTCTCGCTCGACTGCCTCGCTCGACTGAGGCTGCTCGGGTATTTTTCTGAGTCATTGCCTAAAACAGAAACGGCTTTATTTTTCTTCTTCCTGCTAGACTATGCTTCTGGTACCTGTTCAATGCCTAGACAAGACTTTCTTGTAGCTTATCTTTTGCCCAGTCATGTAAAATATTATCTACATTCTCAAAACTTTCCGCCATTTTAAAACACAGAGGGAAAAACTTTGAAATGATGACGTCAATCGTGCATCTGTCCTCTAATAGATCATAAGCGAGAACCAATCAAAATGCGAGAATAACTTTGGTTATTATATAAAACCGTTATAGATGCCGGTCTAGATGGGAAAATATAGACCGCTGTCAACAGTGTTTTCAGCCAATTAAATTCGTGAAGTCTGTAGTTCCCAGTCCTTCTGAGACAGCCATATAATAAATCAGCTGAGGATAAAAGCTCGGAAGAAACTGTGTTGGCGCCCCGTAATTGGATAACATTACTGCGTAGCATTTGTCCTTCGAACAATGAGCTGAAAAAGCACAATTATGCATGTATTTGTTCGTTGGGCGTTAATCCACATAAATTCTTCTACAGAAATAGCTCGGTGAGTCTGTGAAACTGTAGCATTCAGTCGTTAAATAGGGTAAGATGTAGGGAAAGAAATGCTGAGAGGAATCTACCATGCGAAAACCTTCCTTTAGCCGTTAGAAAACGGGCGTTCGCGGTCGGATATTATTTAAATACAGTAAATTGTTATTGCAAGTACCTTTCTTTCGCTGGGTCCCTTGATAGGGTACTCGAAGAGTGTGACGCCTTTGTTTGGGTAATGACATTGCATTTTGTATCTGCACGCATAATTTTGTACAGAGACGTGGGCTAGTGCAGAGCAGAAAAAACAGTTCTGGATGTTGGACGGGGTCAAGATCATACCTACTCAACAAGGTTTCTTCATCTTAGTGTGAATACGGCTGTATACTCGGCAAAATGAGCAGTGAGGCAAAGGAGGTGTTGTATACACCAGTTAGTATCGAAGAAGGCACTACACTAAAACGGTGAGACTCGAATTAACTATCCGCCATCGTGTACAAGACCGTTGGTGAGAGTTCTGACCGAAGAGCAAGTTTGCTATTACGTGTAAATTGAGTCATTTCTAGTTATTGTGATAATTCGTTGCGGTGGGTTCGAGATAGATGCGACACACAGTCAATTCCTTGTTCGCTCGGTTCTTAGGCAGACACATGTCGCACGCGCAGACGGTGACTGTACGCCTTAGAGACGTGTCCGCCTCGGGCGTGATACGAAACCGCCTAAAGAGCACGTAGGGTTTACCGAGTTGTCTGTGAGAGGTCAGGGGGTTGACTGTATTTACAGCAAGACATGGCTCAGTAGACAGGCTTGATAACACCCCATTGTGAAACCAATGAAATAGAATATTTGGTATTAGTTCAGTTGTCGCAGAGAAGTGGCAAACCCTGGCAAAGTCCCATTTCAGATAGGTGGAGCAAAGAATCCTTATCTCTGTTGAACATTTTAAAATGTTTAAGCAAGCAATCCCGGAGAGCGAAGTTGGATCAATAGTGATCTGATCGGCTTAACATAGAAAATGAAGAATACAAAAGCAGATAGCGACGCAACGTAGTAAGATTTTTAAATTTGTGGTACTAAATTTCGGTTGGACAAACCAGCCTTTTTCCGGTACAAAACATTTTGNCGCAACGTAGAAAGATTTTTAAATTTGTGGTACTAAATTTCGGTTGGACAAACCAGCCTTTTTCCGGTACAAAACATTTTGACCCTTGGCTCTATACAGAACTATAGTTTAAAGTTATTCATGGTACATTTAACCTTCTACTGAAGACGACTGCGTCAGTGAACCATATAATTCATAATATAACTCAATAACAATACCAATGACAACGCAGCTATTTGCATACATTAACATATAAAACCGTCTTGATTAACATAATTCTGGGGGAATGGAGGTTCTTGTTTTACTCAAGAAACGGTCAAGTGGTATGGGCTGCACAGCCACGAAAACAAGAGGAACACCACTTAGAAGAGGAATTGACTACAAAAACTCATTTAAAACCTCATTTTAAAATGAAACTGTCTGATCAT